GGGGGGCAGAGGGCAAGCATCGGGATGATGGCTAGTGAAGGAGGTGAGGTTCCTACTACACTGAAGATCAGGGTGGAATGGCCGATTAACTCAGTGGGTAGAGCGCTGGTTGGAAATGCGCATTGTGGTTTGATGTTGTGAGTCAAAACTCTGCAGCCTCGCGCATGGACACCGGCGGGCGCTGACCGACACAGGGCCATTGACAACCCCTTGGGTTGGTGCATGGTAAGGACTACAGACATTGCCTGTACTGCCCAAGGGGTTTAGTCCATGGTTGTTGGATGCTCGGGTGTAGACTATGAGAGGTTTGCCTGATGTTCTCGGTCCATGGGTTGTTCTGATGATTGCACAGTTGGCCCCCTGTCTAGTGCAACGCATAAACAGACTAGTTGTCATTGTAGCTCATTAGGTTTGCCCTGGGGACTGTATGGAACAGGTTGAGGATTTGGAAATGGATCACAGTGAACAGAGATATACAGAGCGTTGGTTGTCTATCCTCCTAGTACGTGGTCATGGGTATCTTGGTCGAACAGAACGGGCTCCAGGCGTTAGCTCTGGGTTCAGTTGTGGCTGGCATAGCAGTTACCTTAGTACGGGATTGCCGGGGTACTGGAACAGGCTGCAAGTATTAGCTCTGGATTCAGCTGAGTCTGGGCTGGTCGGGGTATTGCAACGGGCTCCAGGTGCTGGATTTCGGGGGTCCAGTTGTGGCTGGCATAGCTGTTACCTTAGTTCAGACTTATCGGGGTACCGGAACGGGCTCCAGGTACTGGTCCAGGGTCGAAGTTGTGTGGCTGGCGTACCAGTCACCTTAATACAGACTTATCGAGGTACTGGAAAGTGATTCAGATACTGATCCAGGGTCCAAGTTGTGTGGCTGGTGTAGCTGTCACCCTAGTACTGGCTGAGATCATACGAGGGAACAGTGGATCTCTGGCTCTCTGGCCCACACTACAATTCGCCTATCAAATAGGCTACCACTGGGGCTATGAACTCACCTATGAGCTCACCTATCAACTAGCTATCAACTCGCCTAGCAACTAGGCTATCTCCAGTTGATGTAGCTCAGTGGTTAGAGCACCGGTTGGAAATGTAAGGTTGTGGGTTCAAAACCCCGCAGCCTTGCGCATGGACACCGGCAGGGCGTTAGATTGATGCACGGCTGGACGCACATCCCCTTGGGCTGATGCATGGTATTATTACAGACACTGCCTGCACATCACCCAAGGGTAGTCCACGGTGTTGTATGTTGGTTGTGGGTTTCACAGGGTTTGCTTGGGGTGTTGGTCTCGGGTGTTCTGATGTTCTCCCCAGTCTGGCATATCACACGATCATTCCATTTCCAGTAGTTGCTCATACGGTAGAGTCTTGGATACATGTTACGAGGTCATGGGTTCAAGCTTGGTTCGGTCCCTGGGGGGGTCCTTGTCCAGCTGGCCTGTTCTCTCCTCGATACATGATTCACAGAGTACACATAGCTTTCGAGCATACCCACATAGGTTGCGAATTACATATCGCTTACAGGTTACATGCACAAGTTTCCGCACATGATACAGCTACACAGATTCACAGGATATGTACACAAAAAACAGGCTGGGGGGCTAGTCACTGGTGGG